GGTAAAAGATGGAGCGAATCCAGCACTTCCCCTCGTTACCCGATCGCAGACCTACCTCGTAGGTTGCCGTGTCGTTTTCCCCAGTAAACTCAGTCAGCCTCGGGTACATAAAATCCAACTCACTGCATGATACAGAGAGATGTTGGCATTTGTCAGGTAGGGGATGAAGGCTCATGTGCTTAACATTTTGCGTCCTGGGCAAGCACATGCCCAGGCTCGAACCTGCAACCATTTCGAGAAACTCCCGTCCTCCGTCAGGTACGCGAAAAAGCGTTCCCTCCAAAGGCCGATACATTGGCGCCTGGTCGCCAAGTCCATCCAAAAGAACGTCCGTGTCGGCGCTTGCATGAATGTCTACGTAAGTCTCACACGATCCCATTACTTCAAAGTATGTGGTCATCTTGTGTCCAGTTGGAATGCCTTCACGAAAAGACATGTTCCTTTTCAATTTCTTCCAGGTTTCTGGCTTCATCCACTTTGTGCCTCGTGCACACGCCAATCCCACCGTTGCAGTCATGTTTGCCGGACTGAGATCAAAGATGCGCATTCGACTTTCTCGGTCTGCAGCCAATTTGAGGAACACTTGTAACGCACGCTCGCGATCTTCACGATGAACAATCAAGTCGAAATTCGCCTCATACGGCACTCTTCCGTGATATCGCAATGAGCCCAGAAGTGATCCATACGCTATCACAAATCTTATTTCCATCGATCGAAATTCGTTGCGAATAAGTCGAAGCGATTCCTTAATATAGAATTCGTTGTAAAATGGAATTTCAGGAAAGCAAGTCAGAATGTCAACTTCTCTGCCAATCACTTTCCGATCCCCGTCCGTGTGGCACCAGTTGCTTGGTGCCTGGATGAATTCAGAGCGGTCCAACTCGATGAGCAGGAGTGTAGTGTTGTCATTAGGCCGGATGATATCAACGTTGTGATAATCACTAGGAAGGTATGATTGGTCGACCAGACTGAGTATCTTTCGCTTCACTGACTCTTCATTTGGCGCTTGCAGAAATATGTTGGGTTCTTCAAGGACTTCTGTTTGTGGGTGGAGGTAAAGTGTTCTACAAATAAGGACAGTAGCTATGACAACGCCTAGAACAAGACATCCCAGGTTCCAGCGACTTCGCATTTTTGCAACCATGCGAAATGCAGATTTGTCTTGGTGTAATAAATTGCAAGTTTATATGATTAAGTTCTTCCTACTGTGAGTTTGGCTGCCAATCATATGTGTTCTTGCCACACACCATGCTCCATGTATGTGAAAGACAGACAGAGACACAAGCCTTGGTATTTGCGTCAAATGAATCTGTGTGGTTCCACAGTGATGCATTTGCCAAACAGGCTGCATCCGGAGAGTGTCAATACAATCGTGAGGTTCTGTCACATCTTTCATATTTGGCTGACCTGGCTCCACGGAAATTTCATCCCCTTCAATCACAATCAAGCAGCGAACGAAACAAATCGTAAGACAATTTTTGCGTCAGCATCTTATTGCAAGGGCACTAAATTAGGCTGGGAATTCGGTTGAAAAAAATAGCAAATAACAGCACAGTTTACATAACGGAATAAATTGCGGTTTGTTATGTTTCGGAACTGTGTTTTCCAGTAAAAGCTGTTCCCCTGTGCTGTCAGCACATCATGCATGATTAGGGTTGAAATTTACGTTCAAGTATGCTTTTCTTTCATTTATTTGCCTTGAACCTGAACTTTACTCAACTACTAGATTTTTGAGGCTCGACGTGACCTTGAATTCAATCAGAAAAAGTCAAGACAAGCGAAGTTACGAACATTCATGTCACCACTAGTTTTGAACGGTTCGGCAGCGTTTACCCTGGTTTAGCACCCATGAAACATGATCCCCTGATTTTAATTTCGATCCAAAATATCGCATCATGCATCCGCCATACTCAGAAATTAGTCAGATGGTCGTGTTTTTTACTTGTGCTTGTATTTCTTACCTTGTGATGAATGTTGCTTGTCGAAATCCAACAGCACTGACTCTACTGACTTTAAAAAACGAAAAAAGCACAAAACAACAGTATGCAATCGAATTGATGAACGACTACATTCGATTGTTAGAGATATAAGTCACTTTACTCACATGTTCTTAATAGGTGTTTTTACTATCTCCTCTTGCGGCCAGTTGCACAATCCACTTTGTTGCAATATACACCAAGGCATTTCAGATGGTTCTCAAGCTGCGTACTCGTCGTACTAACTCTACGAATAACGTTGTGATTCAGTACTCCCAGGGATAGCAATGAGCATACATTGATTACCACCTGCTCAGACAGGCACTAATGATCTGATTGATCCATGACAAATATGTAAATTTGTGAAAATATGAAGAATGGAGGTACCTGATTGGAGACGTTGCCAATGTCTACATGCTTAAGTGGATAACCGGTCAATGAAGGTTGTTGCTTACAAGCTTCACTTCAATCTTTTGAAATGAATCAGCAAAAGTGCTCATGCGCATAGAGGGCATAGTGTTAAAAACAGGCTTCCAAATTTAGGCCGATTGTTTGCACAACGTAAGTGGTGTTTGTAAGTTTCTTGGCTCCCTGGCCTGCTTCACATGGTTGCATTAGTCGAAAACTGGCAATTGATGATACGAATGCTTCAAGTGTATTAATACATCACTCTTTTCTAGTCAACAGCAGTACGTAGTGTCTTTAATTATTTTCAAATAACAATGTCCATGTATCTTTGTTCTTTCAGCATACCTTGTTTCACACTCTCTATTTCGTATGAAATTGTTACGACTCTTGGAACACAAATGCAAAACTGTAGAGTGGAAATAATCGGAGTGCTTTTGTTAACACGTAATGAACCTCTTACACTTCCACTCAGGCGAAATGTGTATGAGACAGCGCCTCTTCATGTTAACGCAAGGCATGACCTCCAACAGAGAGCTTTACCATCTCATCAAAGCACCCTTTTCAAGCTCACAAGCGCCAAGTTATTTATGGCGTGGGCTGTTATGAGTGCGGTAAGAGGAAGGTTACACTCAGAGGTTAACAGATCAATAAGAATAGGTGGGCAATGCGAATACGATTTTCGGTGTGCATAAGCATAGTTGATAGTAAGAAAATAATATGTTGCAAAAATCTTCGTAAGTCTAGTCTTGGGGAAGCCGAACCCCCAACAGAAATTGTCACAGCATGCTGACTGTTTCTTTCGAATCACAATCCAACCAACAGATTAGCAGTGGGGGCAGTGTTTGTATTGTTGAGGTCGCCGGTATGTTTTATTGAACCACGTTGAGACCAACGATTTGCACTGGCACAGCCCGTACGACGGTAGAGCAGAAATGCAGTTAATGCGCAGCTGAGCTAATTTATTATAACAGTAAGGGTGTGTCTAGGTGTACAAGATAGCAAGTCAGTTTATATGCGATTGATTCTACTTCGATTCTTGAACGAACACATCTACGTGCAGAGCATTCACGTAAATCAATCAAATCAAGTTGGATCACGACTGCTCTGTATGCTTGCTACAGTTTACAGATAGTCGGGCCATAAGAATTTCGGATCCTAATTTTCTAGGGCCTCTTCACCTATTTAGATGGCACGAATTTCATTGGCTAATGTTTGGGAGCAATCGGACAAGGTGTTCCATTTCAAATATACACACAAACATACAGTCAAATGTAACCGCAATTCGTGGAAATGCCAACGGTAAATTGACATCAATTGAAGCCTCTCTGGTAGACCATTCCAGAACAGGCACATTTCAGGGCAGAAGTCGGATTTAGTAAACTGTGGAAAGCTATCATGGTCGCGGATTCTCATGCACCTAACAGAACCCAATTCGATGCATACGACCACTGGGTGCACGCTGTGAGCAGAGTTGCACCAAAACGATTGATACTGCTTATGGCAAAGTCGCCCACTGTCCAGCCGGTCGTTTACGCGAAGCAGTGTCTCGAAAGTGTTGACTTCTGATACGATACTTCATATTGTGCCCGATTAATTAAACATATGACATTTAAAGTTTCACGAGGAAAATCACATAGGTTTATATTAAGTTCTATCCGTAAACAGAGCCGCGCACTCTGATATCTGGTGCCGCTGATCCCTTGTCTGATGCTAGATTCCACTTTTCCAGTGCAGGACGAAGACCAGATCTCATGTTCAGAGCTTCCACTGTCTCAGTCAAAGGTCCATTGATCTGTCAGAATGTGCCTACGTGTGCGTAAGTCGGAGACGAATCTGACCTGATGGATTAATGCGGATTAACATAGACGGAGCAGAAAGTGGGCTGCTGTGGGTAACTCGCCCAATAAGTGGCGGGTTTGGATTGTATTGCAAAATTATGGGCATCTTTCATTTGTGGACTAACATATCTACCTACCACCATGATATTTACACATTGTGAAAGAACTGCACTCAGCCCTTGAAAGAATATGCAGCTTGAAATTATAGCTGATTGGTTTTCTTTTTTCCAGTGAGAGTATCGTGAGTGGATAGCTCACTCAAATAACACTCGCGTGAGCTTGTGCAACACTCGCCTCACACTTCATGGCGGAGAATCTTTTTCAAATTTAGGCAGCTCGTGAATGTCCTTGGGGTTGCTAAAACAGCCCATCCTGCTTCCTTTTCTACAGAGAATTCGAGGATGCATGACTTGAATGCAACCAAATACCGCCACGTTCGTGTTAGCACCTAGTGCAAAACAAGTGTTTTTGGATTTCGTCTACAAATAGAAATTAATACTGCGTCATAGAACCTACTAGATGGCAGATATAAATTTGTTAACCTATTTTTCAGTGAAACAATGGAGTTGTTGTAGACAAAGTAATAAAGGCTGCTTGTCATTTGGCCGGTTGGTTTTGCATTCAAAAGCTGCTATTATTACTCCCATGATCCACCTCTAGTTGCCTTACAAACCAGATTCAGAGAAAAAAACTGAGCCGTCTTTTTTTCCAACCAGCATTTTGCAGACTTTAAAAGGTGACAACCAGTGTACACACTACTTCTAGTCATAGCTCCTAAATTTCCGGTGACTCAAGTGAAGTAAATCATTTTTCATCCAAGCACCCACGGGCTGAATTCCGGTGTTTGATTTAATTTAGCCAGTTGTGTACAGCCTACACCATCACTGCGTGAACCACTTCAAGTGCCAATCAACCTTTCTTGAGACGCTAGTTCTCCAAGTCCGATTGTAAGTGTCCTAGAAACAAAGTTTTGAGGGAATGGAGATATTTCTAGTCTGAACATCTTATTACACATGTAATGGACATCTAAGTAGTGAATCGTGTTGATCCACGCCCGTAACTTGGTCGCTGTAGGCTCACACACATACACACGTCCCCTTTTCACGGTGTGCCCGCCAGTCAGTGACGCCTACCCATTTACGCCCCTTCATATGCCGCCACCATTAACCCCTTTCTCCATGTGACCATTCAGACGACTCCATTTTTACTAGTTCACTCAACTCTATCAGTCAAGAAAACACATGAATCATGCTCCACGTTGAATACCCGCACGCATCACAGATTCAACCTCGTTGAGCTATCGAGTAGTCGGTCGTGTCTGCCATCTCTGGTCTCATGTCGTCCTTCTGTTATTCGTGTGGTATTTGGCCGCAATATAAAATTTTGCAGTATCTACAGAACATCGTGCTACTTAAGCATAATTTAATTTGTGCTTCATGTAGAGATACACAGCTAAACTGAGGCGCTTATCATATTCAAGTCATGTCATGCAGATTATTTACAAACAAAACATGATTTCAATGGAATCCCGAACATACCTTAAAAAAAGTGGCACGGTGCATTACAAATTACAAATAAAACAGCACATTAGGTAAACGATGTATGTTCGTAATTCCAACAACTCACTGCAGTCCAACCATCGCAAAAACGACAGTCTAGGAACGAATAAGGAAGATCGAGCGGATCCAGCACTTTCCCCTCCTGTCCGATTTCAGTCCAAGCTCATACATGGTGGGAGGTGTTGCAGTTGTAAACTTAAACACTCTTGGATATAGAGTGTCCAATCTGCTGCATGGCACTACTAAGTTGCGGCATTCAGGTGGTAAGAATTTGTACCGACCACGTACCACCAGAGGTATCTTCGGCACGCACATATCAAGACTCACACCATAGGTTTCCTCAAGATACGTATGTGCACCATCAAATACACGGAAAAGCGTGCCTTCTAGGGGTCGATAGATTGGCTGATACTCAGAAAGTCGGTCAAGAACCATGTCGTCATTCGTGTTTGTGTAAATGTCCACGTAGGTGCCACATGATCCCATCACCTTGAGGAAAAGATCCCAGTCGTCAACTGTTGGAATGCCGTTGTAAAAGGTGACGCTCGGTCCAAACTCCGTCCAGTTGTCGGGATTCATCCATGATGTGCTGCGGCCACAGGCAAGTCCCACCTTCGCGTTTGCACCAGCCGGTGTCAAATCGAAGACCCGCATTTGGCTCGTGGGATCTGATGCCAATTTAAGGAGTGCTTGCAGGGCACGTTCATGGTCCTCCCGATGAACCTGCAAATCGAAGTCACAATCGAAGGGCATTCTTTTGTGATACCGCAGGGAACCCAACAGAGAACCGAAGGTCATGACATATCTAATCTCTGACAATGCGAGTGCGTCTCGGATCAATCTGAGAGATCTCTTGACAACCGAATTCTTCGAGAGGAAGAATTTGGGAAAGCAAGTCCGAAGTGTATTGCTGATGTTGAATTTCCTTCGAGTGGATTTCCCATTGCACCATTTGGCGGGAGCCTGTATGAATTCGTTTCGGTGAAGTTCCAGTACAATAAAAGTATCTCCCTGACCGTGACGCATGATGTCGACCCTTTTATTGTTCTGTGATAACAATAATTTGCTAGAAATTTGAATTATCTTGTCTTTCACCATTGCTTCTCCATTTTCCACAATAATCTGTGTTGTGACGTTTTCGTGTTTCAACAGGACATTGATATATCCTAGAATTAAAAAATACAAAGAAATGATTCCTACAGCAACGTATCCCAGTTTTACATGTCTGTGACTTAGAACTGCCATGTTGAGGGAAGCTGAGTAGTCGTGCGTTGAAGCGAATATTCTTTATAGGTCAGATGCTTCAGTATCATCATTTTCTTCCAATCATCTATCCTTTTCGCTAGAGCGTTCCAGAGTCACGTGAAAAAAACCTCGTAGGAGCACACATCGTTTCAATGTGATTTGCTAATTTATGTGTCTTGGTGGATTCCGCGCTGTTTATCACACCAGGGACACGAAGTCTTTCAATCACCAATTACACTATTCTGTGTGCCACAAGATAAATACGGAACTGTGGCCCATGTAAAAGTCAGGCAGGGCTTATTCAATTCAAAACAGTCACCTACATACTATTGAAGTTTATGGCAATAGTGGAACCTAATCTTGAGAATTTATCGCAAAGAGCTAAAGCTATAAGCAACGAGCATCTCTGAGCACACCATTAGATGCTGGACCTCACAGAACTATGGTCATTCACGATGTCAAGTATTCCTGTCATGAAGATTATGACCGAATGTTACATAATTTAGTTGTTTGCCATTTTGCGTCTGTCGTTCAAGCAACATCTGCCCTTTAGTTTGGCTCAGTTGCCGATTTATAAGTGGAAAGCAATTTCTCTAACACCTTTTTTTTTAAATTTTTACCAATTACAAATCACAGAACCGAAAGTCATTTGCAAATCAGAGGCCGGTGCTAGAATCGCTTTTATTTCGGCGTAGGTTTGCTTCTTACATTAAGGGCCAAATTTGAGCGGGCGGTTCTTACACTTGAACAAACCCTTGGCTAGAGAAAGCGATTTACTTAAGGGAAGTTGGGCAACACTTGTTCCTCGTTTGTCAACATATGCTAAACTATCACATAAGGGATCAGTAAAAACTAGATGCCGCATTACGAGCGGTGGCTCTAGACGAAGTAAATAGATTTCTTATGAAACGTAAGCACTGCCTTCTTCTTTTTGAGTTGCTTCAGCTGTTTTTATAAGAATTCGGCATTTAGGTCATTAATGGTTAAGAGCAGTGAGGACATCAAACCTTTTTTTACAGCTTTTCTATCATCCTGACTTACCTTACGAGGAAACCCCCTCTGAGTCACCAAATGTAGCTGTTTGTTCAGCGTGCATTGCCACTTGTCTTCTACCCGCCATGATTGTTAAGAGCCTGTACTGCACCAATCATCTGATGTGAATTTAATCAGACGAGCTTCTGATATTGTGGCGCAATAAGGTATGACGTAACCAAAGAAGGAACACTGGAGACGAGAGAGGGGATCCACATCCGTCTTTTGTTCTATTTATTGCATTTTGATTGCATGTAAAGCAGTGGACGGGTGGGGAATTAGTAATAAGGGCTGTCAACTAACAAACAAGTGGATGCACAAATTCCTGAACGGATGATTGCGGAGAGTGGTGGAGAAAGTATTTGCTGACGGCTGTGCAATGTAGCGTGCCGACATGACCGTAGGGACGCTGTAAAATGGAGCGCGGTGTCTGAATAAGCCACGACGGGTTCGACAGACGTCCAGGTGGCCGCTGTGTTCCGTTTGTGTATTTAATAAATTGGTGAGGCGAAACATCCTCCCATCTCCAAATATTAAATACAAAACAGGGAAGTTTGCTCCGTCGTGGGGAAATGATTTCTTTTAAATTCGTGCGAAATGAGGTTATAGAGAACAAAGCCTTACTGCAATTTTGCAGTGTTCAAGCAGCGCATTTAATCTGAGAAATGAGATTTTACAGTGTAGATTGCACAAAAGGGAATGCAAGTTAAGAAAGGAAACGTGACGGGGTATGGTAATTGATGTGTGATGGCTTCATTTAGCATTAACTTACAACCCTATAGATAATAACCCGTTACATTCCGAGGAGGGTAAGAGAGGCAACAAGTGACACGGCCGTTCATTAGCCTCGCGTCCGCCAAGTGACTTTTTTTAGTCTGAGCATACGTGCGTAACTGGCATCTGCTAACAGGATCCAATAACAAAAAGGGTGAGTCATTGGTACAGTCGGGCCATCATACACGCATCACTCACGCGAGGCGGTTGTCTGTCAAAGTCAAATATTTTCCCCGAGATTGTTGGCTGCGAAACAGTATTCGCTCGAAAACTGTCGAAAGGAGTCATCAAAGCGGACAACGTGTCTCACCATTGGATTGGATCGCTTCCTAGGTTGACTTGGCTGGCGAAAACGGGAGGTGGTGCGAATAACAAATCATTTAATCTCAGTGGGCGATTATCCACCTGTTAGCTGCTACACCAGATGAGATGTTTAGATTTTCCGTTACTTGGGCGAGACACTCGTGGATGTTATGGGTCTTTTCCGTAACCTTCTCCAATTGTGTTTAAATGCTTCGAAACGAGATGATTGCCCGAATGTATGCCAGGAGAGATTTAGTCCATATTTGGCGTAGGACGGATTCATCTACCTTGCTATCTCCAACAAAGAGGTGCATATGCCGAAAGGGGTTAAGAAGGAGACCTGTCGACTACGGACCTCGTTCGAGCTGATCAATCGAGTGGGAACAGCATCTTTCAACTTTTCATAGGGGCCTTCATAAGGCATTGCTCCAAGCAAGTCAGTAACTTCTGTAGCAACACCTCTCAGTAGCCATGCATCAACATGTAAATATTCGGAGAACTGGGGGGAGGGTAACCATCTGATTGCGGAAATGGGCCTCAGGACGCATAAAAACATCTTGGGCGTTGGCACCGTACTGGAGAATGCTGACAGAAATGCTGTTTTCCAAACATATGTTTACAGCAACAGAGCCTCCCCTTGTTAGCAAAAGAGAAGGTTGTGAAACATTCGATGAAAATCACCAATCAATCGAGTCAAAAATAGAGGGTTTTGTTTGTCGGAGTCACAAAAAAGTAGTGGCTTCACTTAGAACTACCTCACAACCCTCTAGATAACAGCCCGTTACATCCTAAGAAGAGACGAAACAGAGGACACGGCAGTTTATTAGCGTCAGGTCCTCCAAGTGTCTTTTGTGAGCATGAGTCCGCGTGCGTAGCAGGCGACTGCTGACAGGAGCCAATAAAAAGTAGGGGTGAGTCATTGGCACAGTCGGACCATCATACACGCATCACTCATGCAAGGTGGCCGTCTGTCTGCTACAGATGTAATTCACTATAGCCACGTAAAGGATACTGCCAACGTATGCTGCGTGGACCTACGACCAAGAAAAAGGAAACCAGCTAGAGACCACATAAACTTGACAGGTTTTCGACGGCTGACTCATGTTGACTTCCACGTTGTGTTATTCGTGGCGAGCGTACAAACTGTTCTCTAACGTGTTCAAATTTGCAGCAGTCGGTGAGTGGCTTTTGATTAAACGGACTGAGTGCTGATGACGAGCTGATTGGCGTGAGTTACCGCTGCGGCACCACAGGAGGTAAGTAAGGGGGGTGGTGGGGCTCAACAAAGGGGTGTGTGAGAGGGGTGACTTGCAGACCATCTGACCAGACATAGACATGAGTTATGGACGTTAGCTTGCACGCCTAATCGCAGCATCAGTGTTCTTTGAAAAAATTTCACCAACAGAAGGTTTGCTTAGTTGTGCCGTTTGGGTGTGGCACTCGTTTGACGAAAGAACACGCGCGTTTTAAACAAACGGCCTTCTGCGTGCGCCAATTCGTCCAACCTTAATAAACCAATGTTTACAGTCTGGTAAATCCGCCTTTTATCTTCTTCATGTTGAAGAAAGTTTGCCGCCTTTGTCTACGCAACTTACAAAAAATCAATCGAACACGATCACTAACAACGCATTTCCAGTGCATGCGATAAACAAGAGACACCTGGGGATGACATCAGCAATTGGGAAGAAAACACAGGACTCTATCAAGTCTTAGTACTTTCAATTATTTTGGCTTAGTGTTAGAAAATCAAAAATTATGATGCCTAAATAGTGGGTAGAAACTTGACCCAGCAAATTGAATTCAAACTAATTGAAATTTATAACTCACGCTTACCATTCACAGGTAATCTGCACCCATACAAAGGTTCAGTGTGTCGACATTTGAAACGGGTGCCAAAAGAGCACAGCACGCTTCTATTACATCACGTGCACAACTACCATAAATTGCCAGAATACACTTGCACTCAACAGAAGCCAGCTTCCATTCGCAACGAAAGAGAGGTCAAACCGGTTCTTAAATAAATGTCTCGTCATGTCAGGTGCTGGTTTTCTTTTGGTGTGTCTGATATTTTTTCCGGAATCACCATAATAGAAAACCTTATTATGAATTTTATCATACATAATTTAGTAAAGGCACATGTTAGAGGATTGAAATATAAGGGTTAACTATTTTTCTTTATTTTTTCAACTTACCGTCATATCAAACAGCTTCATACGCAATGAACGAACGCAAAGGTTTCGTTTCCTTGCAAAGACGACGAATTGAGTTCAGTTAAATCGAGGTAACAAAGCCATCTTGGAACGCTTTAAGGAAACAATCATGTTGATAGAAGGAGAAACCTAATCCATATGGGTCCAAAATATGTGGATTTGAACAGACGTTGTTATCTTAACAAGCGCCATTAATCTAGCATGAATGTTTAGCGAAAGTAACTGTGTTTCTTAATTCCTGATGGCACAGTTTGGTTCTGCAAGTGCTGCTCATCAACACGTCCATGCGAGACTACATTTGAATTTCGTCATTTTTGTTCTCTTTAACTCCAGACGTACTCCCATTGGTCCACTGGTCGGTAAGCTCTTCCTGCACAAAATTCATATTTTGCGTAAAGACTTTTTCACACAAACAACAGGAGACTTTTGTCCTGAAGTGAGCAGCGGCTCAACATCCAGGCA